GCTCGGGGGGAACCTCGGGAAACGCCGTCTCTCTCCCGGCGCTGCTCACGCCGGAGGTCTCACAGCGTCCCGAAGGAGAGACCCACGGAGAAGAACCCCAGGCCCTTGAGCTTCTCCTCGGTCCGGGCCTTCTGCTTCAGGTGGACTTTGCTGTGGCGCTTCTTCTCGTCGGAGCGGGCGAAGCGGCGCCCGCAGGTGTCGCAGGAGAAGGGCTTCTCGCCCGTGTGGGTGCGGATGTGGGTGGTCAGGTGGTCGCTGCGGCTGAAATTCCGCAGGCAGATGCGGCACTGGAAGGGCTTGTGGCCCGTGTGGATGCGGAGGTGCCGGTTGAGCTCGTCGGAGCGGGCGAAGCTGCGGACGCAGTTCTCCACGGGGCAGGCGAAGGCCTTCTCGTGGGGCTTGGGGCAGAAGCACTTGGAGGAGCACTTGGTGCGGCGGGTTTTCTTCTTGGGCTCCTGGGCCAAGGCGGGAGGGTTGGCGGGAAGCAGGGAAGGCAGGGAGGAGGAGGCGGCGGCGGCGTGGCCCAAAAAGTCCGTGGAGGGGGGCACGGAGGGCGAGGGGTGAGGGTGGAGGAGCTCGGCCGAGCTCATCAGGCCCGGCAGCACCTCCGGCTGGGCCAAGGCGGTGGCGTCGAATTCCGGCATCAGTGGAGGAGGGATGTTGTGGATCTTGGCGTCGGCGAAGTCCCCGCGGGCCGGGAAGTTTTCTGGCTCGCAGCCGAATCCCAGATGGGCTCCAAAGCAGGCAGCATCCTCTGCCAGGCTGCCCAGCTCCGACTGGCAGCTCACGGACAGGACGCTCTCCATCTTGGAGCCCAGCGGGTGGAACAGCCCCTGGCTGCTCTCTCCAGCCGGGAACGCTTCGGGAGAAGGGTATCCGGCGGGCAAGTAGGCCTGGTGCTGGGCAAGGGGCTCCCACTGGGCACAGGGGGCTTTGAACTTGTCCAGGGGCGGGGAGCCAGAGGACAGCTTGATGTCCTGCTTGTTGTCCAGGAGCTTGGGCTGGAAGAAGCACTGGGAGGTGTTTCCCAAGGCGGGCTGTGCCTGCAGGGGCTGAGCCCCCTCGGCCGCGGGGAATCCGCCGTATCCCTGCTCCGGGAATGGGGCTTGGGTGGATCCGCTCATCTCGGGCTGGCAGGTGGGGTAAAGGTCCAGCTGGCCCTGAGCCACCTCGGGACAGGGGTAAAGAGCATCCAGGTGCCTCGGGTGGCTCTCGGAAGAGGAGGAGAAGGGGGAGATGCCCAGGATGCCCGACATCAGGTTGAACAGGGATTCCTGGTCCTGGGGATGCTCCGGTACCGCCTTGATGAAGAAGCTGCCGGTGTAGCTGAGGGAAGGGGAGGGTTGGCTGCCCAGCAGGGAATAATCCACGGCCCCGCCGCTCGCCGGGATGCCCACCAGCTCACCTGGGGAACAGAGGAGACGCTGGTTAGAGGGATGGAGGGCTGCGGGGCTGGGGGGGGCGGGATACGGGCGAACAGCGGGAGGCTGGTGTTGCGTCACTGCGAGGTCTCCGTCCCTGGAACCGCACGGGGAGCTCCGGGATTCACCTCCCTTCTCCAGCGGGACCCCCTCCCTGAGCTGGCAGGGGACTGCCGAACCCACAGCCCGGCGCTGGGGGCAGGGGAGGGGAAGATTCCCAATTCCTGGCTGCAGCGATCACTCCCAGCGGGGTCCCTCGTCCCTGCCCGGCTCCCTCCCCCCATCCTTACCTCCGAGGAAATCGGCCTCTGCCAGAAGTTGCTGCTCAGGCTGCCCCAAGCCCTGCAGGTCTCCGGTTTTCATCTCGCAGCTCTCCTCGTACTTGGAGTAAAGCGGATCCGAGCAGGAGAAATCCATAACGTTGAGCATCTTCCCTGGAGAAACGGCCGGAGCAGGGGGGGCGGGCTGGGACGAGTCGGGAATGCTCGGGGAGAGCCGGGAGATGCTCGAGATGAGCCGGGAGATGCTCGGGATGAGCCGGGAGATGCTCAGAGACGAGGCGGGAGATGCTCGGGGCGAGCCCGGGATGCTCGGGATGAGCCGGGAATGCTCGGAGTGCCCGGAGAGAGCCGAGGGATTCTCAGCGGGGAGCCGGGGGACGCTCGGG